CATACCCTGATCAAGTTACTCCATAAACCTGAGTTACTCTATTTTGTAACAGTAGTTTCTTAATTTCTAGTATCTACAACACTCCTGTCACATATCACACTTGACACAAAAATGTGTGTGTGTGTGTGTGTGTGTGTGTGTGTGTGTGTGTGTGTGTGTGATAGAAAGGTTAAGAAAAGATTCAGGCAGGAGTTCACCATGTGCTTCTGATTAATTTGATAAGTCCACAGAAGTGATTTTTATTAGTATAGAAGAGAGCAAAGACAGAGAGCAGATAGAAAGCAGAGTCACTACAGGTGGTCAGATAAGATCAAGAACCAGTTGAAGGGAACAGAGCTGTCAAAGACCAGGAACTTATTCTAGGCCAAGGTCCAGACAGTCAGTAGTTTCAGAGTGTCAGCTCGGAGTGAGCCATGGGTACACGATCATCAAGGGCAGGAAAACTGTACTCTGCTGAAGCCTGAGGCCAGAAATTCTAAAGTTTGTCACTGTGGTGATTTTCCTGGGCAAGCCTGGTGATCAGGAGTGACAAGGATGGGGTCAGGGTGCCACTGTGTCCAGTCTCAGATGTTCTTTCTTTTATGAGTCTTGAGTGAGGGGTAGCTTCATTTGGTGGTCTGGTGTGTTCCATAAGCTCATGGGCCTGGTTTTCCCAATGAGTTTGATAACACCAATGCATCCATGTGCTTCTGATTAATTTGACAAGTCCACAGATGCCACAGTCTGGCTGGGCACAAAATCACGAGCCACTCAAACAGGAACAAACTTTATTTTTGAAACTCCCGCCAATGCCCTGTATGCTCCCAGGAAATATGCCGACCCACACACGTGGTGTTCTCCCGGACACACAACCCAACAGGAAATCTCTCCCCCGGAATTTCCTCCTACCACACTTTCCCAACCAATGGGAACTCTTTGGGAGTCCCGCTAGAGCTCCAAAGTAGCAGGCCAGGCCGAGGTGGACAGCAGGGGTCTAATATCCATTTGAATGCAGATCTTAACATAATCATATCATCTCAATGCCTTGTTGGTAGCACCTTACAACCAAAAATGCCATGCATCATTTTTACTTGGCTATGGCTCTCAGCACACAGAAGTGATTTTATTAGTATGATTAACTGATTTCTCAATTTGTGCTTTATAGTTGTGCCTGGCAGATAGTGGCTGTTTACTTGTACAAAGAAGGTGTACAGTCATTCCACCTCAGCACTTAAACTCAAAATGGAGTAACTTATGAAAAACTACTGTTACAAAATAGAGTAACTCAGGTTTATGGAGTAACTCTGATCAGGGCAAGATGTCCTCTCCATATATTTCAATGACTTTGGCCAATCCAGAATCAATCAATTATTAACTAGTGCCCATTAATCGTTATTCTGCCATGTTACTACTGCACAAATGAATATGTTTCCGGCATTTCTCAAAATGGTACCCATCTTTGGACCTGGGAAACAGAACCTCTCCCAGGAGAATTAGCTTCTAGCCAGCTTTCCTGTCCCTGGTTACCAGACCATCATTCCCTTTTCCCTAGAGTGGTCATCATTTGCAAGTTACCCCAAGGGTCAAGTGAACAGTCACTGTTGCTGCAGCCAAGAGGATGGCATACAGCTTCCAGGCAGGAAGGTCAGAGTTGCTCTGGAGACACACATGCATGTGGGAAGCAGACAAGGCCAGTTGAATGCAGATGTGCCTGCTCACACATCAGTGAAATCCAGGCTGTGGTCTATTTGCTGCACCATGTGGCCCGCATTTTCTAATTTACAGAGTGTTAACTTGCTTAACTCCTCCCACTAGAGAGGATGCCTCTTGCAAATGTGTAAAAATCAACTTTGTGTGTAGGTTAGGCCTGCTGGGTCTGGGCCTTTGCAACCTTGGAGACCATGGGCCTTACAGCCATTCTACCACTCCTCTCATGCAGTACTCAGGGATTCCAGACTGACTAAAGTCAGGCGTCCTCCTGGTTGACCAGTCTGCCTTCCTCCTTCCCTCTCTTTTTCTCCTTTCCTCCTTTCCTGCAGTCCTTCTTCCTGTTACCTGCTTGCTTGCTTTTTTTCCTTTTAAGTTCATTAATAATACTGGGAAACTCTTAAATACAGCGAAAGGAAAAGAACCAGAAAAAAAATAACAATTTTCTTTGAATTCATAAAACGAGTTTCTGAAAGACTTCTTAGACTTCTCCATCTTGCACCCTGGCCTCCCTAGCACTACTTGTGAATCTCCCTTTGGTGGGAGCAGAGTCATAGTCTGGCCTGGCCTAACCTGTTCCCATGGGTGCTGAGTAAGTCCACATTTCTGGTGTTCACTTTGTTCTTTGTTCAGGCACTGCCCCTCAGATCTCTACACCCACATCTGCACCAAAGGAGAAATAAGGACACATTTTTCTTCCGTCTCTCCTTTCTTCCTAGTCTTCAGACTGCACTTTTTTTCTGATGGCAGGATGACTAATTCCTTTGTCATGTTCTTATTCCATACAGCCTATCCAGCTGCTCTGATTGCCTCTGTCTAGTGTGAGGGAGCTGCTGTGTTGCTAATATGAGACATCTACACTGGGCCTGAGGCCAAGGAAGGCCAAAAGCAGCCAAAGAAGATAAGAAACAAGACTAATTTTCCCAAGAGCACAAGACACAAACATTCTCCTGTCCCCTTATGTTGATTCTCTAGTTGTTAAAGGGCTTAACATGATGCAGCTGTTGGGAGTCTTCACATCCAGCCCAGTCATGCTTCTCCTCCCTACTTGGTGTTCCCAGCCACCCCCACTTGTCCAAGAAGAGAGCAGATCCCTTAAAGAAGGGCAGGGAGTGCAAATATGTCGTTACTCCACTTTTGGTTTTGTAAGTGTTCAACATCTAGAATTGGGTTCCATTTTGAAGGATCTTAAATTCTTGAAATAAAATAGTACCTTGGTTGGCAGGGAAAATAAATAGATAGATAGATAGATAGTCAGCCAATCCCTTGGGACTTAGTTGAATGAGTGAATTGAAATGGCTGGTTAGTTTGATCTGTAAGATATAGAAAAGAGGTTTCTTCTGTTGGTGGTTCATTTACTCAGTCATCTAATTCTGGACTTCATTTAGGATTCTTTAAAAAGTTCTGAGTGTGTAGAGCTCTCCCTATCCTCTAAGCTAGTGTAGCATCATAAAAGATAGGACAACCCATAGAGGACCATTAGGAAGAAAGAAGGGGAATCAGTTTAGGAAGATCTGTTTTCCAAAGCCTATAAGTAATGGGATAAAAATTAAGAAACAAAATTTAAGTAAAATTTTGGGAAAAGATTGAGAAAGTGGAAATTCAAGGAAAAGAAAAGCTGAGAAAGATAATCTTGAAAAATGCAAGATTTCACCCTCAACTGCATGGTTCCTTTCTTCTGGAACTGTCTGAAACCAATGGATTAGTAGCTCAGCTGAGCCCTCTGAATAAGAAAAGGGCCTCCAGAGTGCTCAGTCTACTTTGCCTAGGAGGCTTTGGGTGTGCCAAAGGAGAACAAAGGCCCAGAGAGAGCCCTTCTGTTCCCTCACATTGGGGAATGGGCAGAGGAGGGGAAGCCAGAGACAAGATTCCTTGGGAGCCTACATTTTTCTCCTTGGAACCACTGTTGCTCAGCTCCTCCTGCCAGGCTTTCTCACCCTCTCCAGCAGCTCTGTGCTCCCTCCTCTGCCTGTCCCCAGCAGCCCAGGGAGAATCAGTCAGGCGTGAAGAGACTCCCACCTTATCCTCCCTTTCTATTTTCATCCTGACCCTGTAGGGAACTTGTGGCCATGTGAGGAGGCTGGATGGCACTTTCAGAGAGGAGTTCTTTTCAAAGAAAGAAAGAGCCAGAGCCACAGACAGGCAAAATGTAAATCCCAGAAGGCTCTGAATTAATAGACCTTGGGGTCCTGAGGAAGGGGGGAAGGGTGGGAAGAAAAGTTGTTGTGACTGAAGGGAAATGAGTCAGGGGAACAAAGGTCGGTTTTAATTCTTGTGGATAAAGGAGAGGGCTTGCCAGACCACAAAATAACACCCCGACCAACTAACCTACTTTCAGTCACTAAGGGAAAGAAAGATCAGTGGGGAAAGGCAAATGGAAACTGGGAATTGGGGGTTCAGGAAGATCTGAGTCTAATGACCATAAACCAGATGCCTCTTCTATTTTTGCAAATCTGCATTTTTCCAGATCTGTCATCGTCTATAAAAAAGGAGACAGACATTCCAATGGAGCAGTGGGGCATAGAGGGAGCCTTCTTTTTGGTGAGCTAGACCATGGAACATGGAAGCAGCTCTGTCCATTTTAAGTGTAAGAGCAGAGGCAATCTGAGATGGGTAGACTGGCTCTGAGATGTGTCAGCAATAAAATCCCTACATATTCCTCTGGAAAAAATCAGAGAGGAGGGCTGGGGATATAGCTGAATTGCTAGTGCTTTCCCAGCATTGTTTAAGACCCTGAGAGACCCTGAGTTTAATCCTTAGCACCAAAACAAAAACAAAAACAAAAACAAAAACCCAAAGAGGACATTACTGTGGCTTCATTTAGTCAACCCCAAGTCAGGAATTCCCCTCCAGGAAACCAAGTAGGACACTATAGTCTCCTGGAGTCCACTGGCTACCAAGAAGTGCCAGAGATTGTTTTGCCCTTCAACCCTTGGAAATCTCTGGGCAAGATCATCTTCCAGCCACTGAAGTGTCTATCAAAGATGAATGGATAAATGAAATATAGTATATCCAACAATGGAACATCATTTGGCCTTAAAAAGAGAGAAAATTCTGACAGATGCTACAATATGGATAAACTTTTGTGATGTGTGCAAAGTAGTCAGATTGAGAGAGAGAGAGAGAGAGAGAGAGAGAGAGAGAGAGAGAGACAGAGACAGAGACAGAGACAGAGAGAGAAATCATCTTCCAGACACTTGTCCATGGGAGCTGTAGCTCGAGGAAGAATCCAGCTATAATACTCAGGTTCTTGAACTTTACTGTACTTTGCCCTACTGTATCACATGCTTAAGATCTTTTTCCTCTTCTTTCAGAATTTATGGGACACTCTGAAGAAATGATGAATACAATGAAAAAAGGGCTTCTGTGTGTACTGCTGCTTTGTGAAGTAGTCTTCACTTTGCCCCGCCAGGTGAGTGTCCAATCCATCTCGGCATGCCCCTCCTGGAGGCTGCTATACTTGCAGATGCTCCTCAGTACAATCAAGAGTCTGCATCTTCCCAAGGATCCCAGGGGTGAGAAAAATGCCCAAGAATAGGAAGGCTAAGGGACAAAATGTCAGTAAAGCCACAGACATGCATGTGCCCTTTCTTTCTGGATCAGATACTTGGGATTTAAGTCTCTGAAGTGGAACCTAGACATTTATTCCAACTTGAGCCAACAGTTCTTAATTTTGCTCCTCGGCCTCTGCCTGCCTTCTTTGGAGTTACATTAACGAATGTGTTTGAATTAATCCACAAAGTATTTATAGAAAACAACACAAGTTCTTTGAGCCATAGAATCAGGTAAATTGCCCTTATGCTGTTCATTACCTGATCAGGATGGAAGCTAAACACACACTCTTTGAAAATGATTGGCAACAAAAAATAATAGTAATACTCTGCAGCAGGATCTCAAAGAACAGAGTGCCCCAGACAGCTACTTGGAGGACACAGGGAGCTATGACTCCACTGTTCAGTATTGTAACCACTAACTACATGGAGCTATTTATATTTAAAATTAAAATTAAATGAGATTGAAAATTCAGTTTATGAATCATGCTAGCCACATTTCAAGCTCTCCCTGGCTACAAGGGATCAGTGGCTACCATTTTGGACCATATAAATAGGAAACATTTCCATTGTACATAAAGTTATTTTGGCTAGTATAAAAGGAGAGGAAGAATTAGACAAGGCAGCCAGAAATGAATGTTCCACCTGGGCCAGTTACCCAGGGGAGAGCTTCTGAGTAGATGGCTTCTAATTGGCAGACTCATGTGTGGTCATCTCCCAGCTTGTGCTGATCTTTATCTACTCATGGTCTCTTTGCAGGAAATCTACACCCGATTCAGAAGAGGAGCCAGATCCTACAGAGGTGAGAAGGAGCTGAGATGGAAGAGGGTCAGTGGAGATAGGAGACAGGGTCAAGGCTTAGGGTAGTAGGACATTAGGGTACCTTAGACTTGCTGGAGATTCACTTCTACCCATGACCTGCTTACTATGCTAAGGTGAATTTTTCAGGGGGATTCTAAAAGATGCTGTTAATTCATCCTTCACCCAATCTGCTGATGCCAGCCAGACAGGTTCTGAGAGGAACAGAGTCAGGATGTCAGGGGATTACAAAGCTGGTGAGAGCCTACCAGTTCAAATTCCTTGTTATACAGATGAGAGAACAGAGCTCTGGAGAGACTGAGTTTCTTGCCTAAGGCCACCTAAATGCTAACAGCAGAACAAGGACAGCCATTGCTGTCCAGGTCCTCTGGGGTCTTTCCTGGGCTGTGAACCTTCCAGAGTCCACTCAGCACCTTTGTTAGCATCTCTGTTTCCGTTTCTTCCTGTTAATCATATCAGAATAATAACCTGGGCTACTTCACAGAAGTAGTGAGGAAATAATTTTTTTCATAAGTCCATGTCTAGAGTTGACTTTAGAAAGCAGAGAAACACTTCCATCAGGATTTCAAAAAAGAATAAAAAATGCTAACAGCCTCTTGTCTTTGATTTGAAGAACTCTAGGCCCCACTTCAGGTTGAGAACTACCAACCTAGAGCCCTCATCTTTCCTCCTTCATGACCTGGTTTTTTTCAATACTCCATTTTAAAGTGGAAGTCTCCTCAGATCAAATCACACTTAACTCTTAACAATTTTGTTGTTGGATAGCAAAGCATTTCCTACAAGGATATTCTAGCCTTGACAGAATTTTGAAAGAAACAAGAACATTATCTTCAGTGAGCATATGTTACTTCTTTAATTAACTAAAAATACAATAGGGATTTTGTTGCTTTTTTGTTTTTGTGGTGCTAGGGATGAAACTTGGTGCCTTGCACATGCTAGGCAAGTGCTCTACAACTGAGCTGTAGTCTCAGCCCCATGTTTTCTTTTTATTTTTTAAAGTTGGCATTCTAGTTTGAAAACAGAAAAAGATGAAAAGAAAACATTAGTGGGAGTACTTCAACTATTTTAATTATATAAAAAATACTAATGGAGCCAGGTGTGGTGGAGTACACACATAATCCCAGCTACTCAGGAGGCTGATGCAGGAGGATCGAAAGTTTGAACGAGCCTAGGAAACTTAGTGAGACCCTGTCTTAAAATAAAATTAAAAGGGTTGGGAGTTTAGCTCATTGTTAGAGCTGCTTGTCTAGCCTAGCATGCTTGAGGCCCTTGATTCAATCCCCAGAACCACACAGAAAGGAAGGGAGGGAGGGAGGGAAAAATTCATGGAAACAGCACTTTCCTGCGCAGCCTAAAATGCCAATTTTCTTTGTATTGGTCCAAAAGTGCATCATTTTCTGTGTGGTAGTACTCATATAGATAAAAAACGGTAGGCAATTATACAATATATATTTTTGGTGAATTAAAATGAAAAATTGAATATTACTTAATAAGTATATTTTGATAGATAAATTATTTCAAAAAAAGGACTCATCAGAGGAAAAACAATAATAGGAATGTTATCTTTAGTGACAAAATATTAGGTATTTGTATTTGTTTTCCACTTGTATTCCTAAGGAATTTACAATAGATTATAGTCATCCCTCTGAGGAGCATTGATTTGTTCAAGTACCTCTCACAAGATACCAAAATCTATACATGCTCAAATACCTTATATAAAAATGACATATTTGCATAGAACCTATGAATGTCTTTAAATATATACTTAAATAATCTCAGGATTCCCTATTATATGTAATAAAGTATTAATTATATATTCCATAACATTAATGTAAATACTTGTTTTACAGTATTATTTAGGAAATAACAAAAAAGATCTGTACATGTTCAATACAGGTACAAGCTTTGTAGGCCTAACTGTATTTTCAACCCTCAGTGAGTGAATCAGTTGATGTAGAACCAGCAGTTATAGTGGGCTGATATTTCTCAGTAGGTCCACAGGCGATAAATCTTTGTTGTTGTTGTTGTTTTGTTTTATTTGAATCTTATTCTAAGAAGCCAGGCTGTCTTTTCTTATAGTGATGTGCAGGGATGAAAAAACACAGATGATTTACCAGCAACATGAGTCCTGGCTGCGCCCCATGCTCAGAAGCAACCGAGTGGAGTACTGCTGGTGCAATAGCGGCAGGCCACAGTGCCACTCGGTGCCCATCAAAAGTAAGTATGAACTTCATGTTGAGGCTTCAATTCAGAGGTTCAATCTTATGGGCCCAAACCCTGTCTTTCATGGTTCCCAGCATGTTCAAATCTTCAAAAGGAGATTTTAGGCATGTTCTGTGTTAGGAAAAGTAAAGATACACAACAAAAAGGAGCAATACTATGTAGCAAATGCCTTCACTTACTGATCCTTAGTTTCCTCATATGTAAATTGGGAGAATACCAATATATACTTACTTTATGGTTGTGGGGTTTAGATTTTGTGAACAGCAGCTGGCATATAGGAACACTCTTGAATTTTTAATTCATGTTATTCTTGAAGCTGAAGGTAATTAGGGGTTTCCTTGTTTACGCTTGACAGGTTGCAGTGAGTCGAGGTGCTTCAATGGGGGGACATGTTGGCAGGCTATATATTTCTCAGATTTTGTCTGCCAGTGCCCTGAAGGATTTGCTGGGAAACGCTGTGAAATAGGTGAGTGTGTGTGTATGCTGTAAAAGAGAGAGGCACAAAAATCCCAGTTCCCAAATCAAAAACCAGGAAAGGAAAGGAAATGTGTGGTAGAAGGATGAAGGTAGAATCCAGTATCAGCTGAGGGTGGCTGAGGAAACCAAAGTGTTGTGTCCAATGGGCAGAGCCTTGAGTCCAGCTCAGCCATCATCTGCTGGGTTACCTAGCTCCCAGCTTACTCTGGCAATTCCAGCAGTAGCCTGCCCCAGTGATGAAGGTGACTGCAGAAACCCATGTGAGAGTCTTTTGAACAAAGGGAGATTCACATGTGAAGGGTCACATATCCTGCTCTCAATCAGATACCAGTGCCACATGCTACAAGGATCAGGGCATCACCTACAGGGGCACGTGGAGCACTGTGGAAAGCGGAGCTGAATGTGTCAACTGGAACAGCAGTGTGTTGGCCCTGAAGTCCTACAATGGGCGGAGACCAGATGCCATCAAGCTGGGCCTTGGGAATCACAACTACTGCAGGTGAGGCGGCCATCTTCCTCAGTAGGTTCTTCTCTGGTGAAAAGCACTATGGTTGGGGAAAAGAACCTGCTAGGCCCTAGTACTATCTATACAGAAATAGAAATAAATTGATTTTAGGGAACTGGCTCACAGCTCTGTGGGGGCTAGTGAGTCTGAAATCTATAGGCAACTCATCAGGCTGGAACCTTAAGAGTTGATGTTGTAGTCTTCTCATATTTTGTTCTTGAGGCCGTCAACGGATTGGATGAGGCCCACCCACAACATCTAGGATAAGGTACTTAAGATCAAGTGATTGCAAGTGCTAATGACATACCTTTGCAGCAATGCCCGGATTAATATTTGATTAAATACCTGGGGACTTTAACCTAGCCATATTGACACATTAAGACTAACAATTATTGCCCATCCCTTGTCAACTTGGCAACCATATGCATTTCCTTAAACTATACTTAATTTCCAAATAAAAACAATATTATTAAGTCATGTTTCTGCCTAACATAATACAACTATCCAGTATTCAACTATGCAAAAAATACACTCACCCTTTCCCCAGAAGAGTATGCCAAGTCCTTGGGTATGAGAGGAAAGTTTGCACTTTTAACCTTCCCTGGTCCTCCCTGGATGATTTTTCAGGAACCCCGACCGAGACTCAAAGCCCTGGTGCTATGTCTTTAAGGCAGGGAAGTATACCTCAGAGTTTTGCAGCACACCAGCCTGCTCCAAGGGTAAGTGACAGTCACCACACCTTCTCAGTGTCACTAGGGGAGAAACATCTGAAAGAATAGGGCTGATAGTACCACAACTGAGGAGAGAAAAGAGTGGGTGGGGAGTTAGTGATGGCCACAGAGGGAAGAGTCCTGCCCAGACATTGCCTCCAGCTGTCTGACCATCGGTCTCCCTATCTATAGAGGAAAGAATGGGGATGAATCAGTAGTTTCTAGTCCTTTTTGAGTGAATAGAAATTCTCCCTTTTTGAATTCATGGTCTCTCTTTCTCAAAACTTTTAATATAAAATAATTCCCCAGAAAGGAAAAAAAACTGTTACAAAAAAGGCACTATGAATTCAGTGGTGTTTTCAAAAATAATTATATTAGTAACCACAATAGTATGAAAGATACTTTTAAAGTTCTAAATATATACATGGAAAAACAATGAGCATTTGGTTCACAGGTCTACAGGTAATGCTGGTTTACCTGTGAATGTGAAAACTCCTTTTACAATAATTCTGAAGTTATCCTCTCTATCCCAAGGATTTTGTCTAAATTAATATTCACAAATATAAATGATCTTACAGATGTCTTCTAATTACAGTATTTATATGAAGAGGTATACTTCATCAGTTTTAAATGGGGAGAAAAGAGGGTAGGGTGGCGCAAATTGATGAAAATAGGTAGCACTCTTGGGCTCATATGTTCTCTTCTAAGCCTAGCAAAGCCCTCAGAGAACTGGTGGACAAAGTAGGACCTAACATCACAACCCCTGTTGAAGCACATTGGTTCAATGCAACCATCAAGTAGAAACAAGGAAATCCCTAAATACTTTCAAAGCAGCTCTAAGAATAATCACCACTAAGGGAACACAGCACTCTTTTTCACTAAACCTGAACAGACCCTCAGAATCAGCTTCCACACAGCAATCTAGGAGATCACATCCAGTTGATGAAAGTGGAACATGAGATGAAATCTGTGTTAGTTCCATATAACTATAACAAATACCTGAGAAATTCAACTTATAAAGAAAAAGGTCTATTTTGGTTCACAGCTCGAGAGATTTCAGTCCATGATCTATTGGCCCTGTTGCTTTGGGCCTGTGGTGACACATGGTGGGAGCATGTGGTGGAACAAGACTGCTCCCTGCATGGCCAGGAAGTGAAAGAGAAAGAGACTGACCTGAAGACCGCCCACCAGGCCCCACCTCTTAAGGATTTCACCACTTCCAACAGTGTCATGCTGCAGATTAAGCTTTTAACATATGGGCCCTTGGGAGACATTCCCAGTCCAAACTACAGTGAAACCCACTTGCCATTTCTATGTAAAAGGCCTTAAAGAAAAAATGAAAAGTTGGAGATACCACACTCTTCTCCATGCTAGACTAGCTCTCACCTCCACTTCAAACCCCAATTTGCCTGCCTCACCATTTAATTGGTTTTGTTTCAGCTTGGGATTTTTTTTGTTGTTGTTCCAGGAAAAAATGAGGACTGCTACTTTGGAAAAGGGTTAGCATACCGTGGCACCCAAAGCCTCACCACATCTGGTGCCTCCTGCCTTCCGTGGAATTCCATGATCCTGATAGGCAAGAGTTATACAGCGTGGAAGACCAACTCCCAGGCTCTCGGACTGGGAAAACATAATTATTGCCGGTAAGTAGATCAGAACCCAAGGGATTCAGGTTTTGGCAGAGAAGAGTCAAGAGTGTGGGATGGGAGAAGAATTAATGCCAAAAGTTATATGAAAGATCCAAAGTGTGGGAAGGAACTCTGGATATGATCTAGTACAACCTATTCACTTGATAGAACAATGCTTATTTCTGAAACTCAAGGTATAACAGTTTTCCAACCCAAAACCCAAGTTAGCGGTCCTGTCCCCTCACCTAATTTAAGCCTTATTCATTCCGTTCTCAATGCACTTTTATTATAATACTTTTGTAAGAGTTTCTTCTCAAAACATCTCCCAGTTCCTTCCAACATCCCTGTGAGATTAGAATATTATATTACTGAGAGTAAAAAAATTAAAGGGAAAATTTTCCACTATCATTGGGCCTGCCACTTTGGCAAGTTGAACTTGAGCTCTTCCTTTCTAGCTCAGTGTTTTTACCACTGATTTACCTCTTTCCACTCTTATGTGGCCTTTGATATAATTGAAAATGTGACTTAAAACCTTAAACTCCCTTATCATTCAGGAATCCAGATGGAGATGCCAAGCCCTGGTGCCATGTGCTGAAGGACCGCAAGTTGACGTGGGAATACTGTGACATGCCCCAATGCTGTAAGGGCTGGCCCTCTACTACCTGCTTTTGCCTACTTTCACTTCCCCACTATTTCCTTTGCTTCCCTGTGTGTCCTCACAGCTGCTGGTTCAGACTTCTAGAAGGGCTAGGCCTTGGTGGGTAGGAGGCTTGTGTAACTGAAGCAATGGTCTTGGCAGGTGTGCACTTCCCATGCATGGGAGTGATGGGGAGGAACCAAAAGAAAGCAAAGACCACTCTGGTTTCTCTTAGAATTCAGAGGGCTCTAATTTTTCTCTCTGGATGCCTCTATTAATAGTGGTGTTGATAGTAGTGGTGAGTATAAGGAAGAAGAGAGGAGCTCACGTTTGTGACTCCTCAGAAAGTAAGGTGCTTCCATTGTGCTCTCCCAACAGTGGTGTTGGGAGAGTCTTCCTCTTGGATGGAGTCTTCCTCTTCCCATTACTGAGGAGGAAACACTCTCAGAAGTCCTATGGCCTGCTCTAATTCCCTGGGCTCCCAGTAGTAAAAATAGGGCTCGCTCCCATGTCCTCTGACTCTAAGGCTTATACTGTGAACTCTTCCACGTTATCCACAGAACCCATTTAACATGGGGAAGCTGCATTAATGATAAGGGATGAGAGGCAGAGAAAATTCAAATTGGCACATGTTGCTAAGAAAATAAAACTTTATTTTGGAAATAGTCTGAGAATATATTATAACTCGGCTCCTGTGAATACACAGTTGTACCAGAATGTTCTTCAAGTAATATAGAGTCTAACTAGGAAGGTAAGACATAAACTCTCAGTTAACTCATGACCGAGGGCATTTATGGTGGGTCCTCTGTCAGCCACAGAGCCTTGTCAGCTGGGGTGTTGACAAAAGCTCTGAGAGGTCAGCTTTCACTTACCTTGAAGAATGGCTATGGTTGAGTAAAGGAAAGAAATGGGTAGACAGTCCTCAGAAGGAAACTTACAATACACTACTTCTTAAGCCAGGAAATGGATACAATTAGAAGGAATGAAGCATAGCAGAAACATCCCCAGTTTTGGAGTCAAACAGATATGGGTTCTAATCTAGATACCATTGTGAACTTGGGCCAAAATTTTTTAGCCTCCCTGAAACTTAGGAAGGGATAAAGACACTGTACACATAATATTTAGCATGTTGGGAATGCACTCAACAGAGGAAAGTTGTGGTTCTTATCACGGTGGGAAAAGTTACATCACCCTCAACCCACCTTTCAAAGAGCAGTCAGCCTATAGCACTCAGAGATCCAAGAGAAGAAACCTAGATGGGTGCTCCCGGGTCTTGCCCCAGCAACTCAGATCTCATCTCCCTTCTCTCTCCTTTCTTCTCCCAGCCACCTGTGGCCTGAGACAGTACAAGCAGCCTCAGTTTCGCATTAAAGGAGGACTCTTCACAGACATCACATCTCATCCTTGGCAGGCTGCCATATTTGCCAAGAATAGGAGGTCACCAGGAGAGAGGTTTTTGTGTGGGGGAGTGCTGATCAGTTCCTGCTGGGTCCTATCTGCTGCTCACTGCTTCCTAGAGAGGTAGGGGCTTTTCTACTAAGGTCTTAAAACCAGAATCAATGGAGTAAAGTTTACAGTAAAAATAGCATTCTAAAGCTGTTTTTCCATTAGGTTTCCTCCCCACCACCTTAAGGTGGTCTTGGGCAGAACATACCGGGTGGTCCCTGGTGAAGAGGAACAGAAATTTGAAGTAGAAAAATACATCGTCCATAACGAATTTGATGATGACACTTACGACAATGATATTGGTAAGATGTTATTATTCTCTGCTACAGTTGACAGTCTGGAACAGACAGCATACCCCCACATGAATATGTTTATACACACATACACACACACTTCCTCCTTCCTAAGCCTGGCTCCCTCCTGCTAGTTCCTCCCCTAAAACTGGAAGTGGCTCTCTTTCACACAGGTCTTATTCTCTCCCTTTCAGCATTGCTGCAGCTGAAATCAGACTCATTACAGTGTGCCCAGGACAGCAACTCTGTCCGCACTGTCTGCCTCCCTGACGCCAACCTGCAGCTGGCTGACTGGACGGAATGTGAACTGTCTGGCTATGGCAAGCACGAGGCATGTAAGTGGAAGGAAGTCTTGGCCCCATCCTGTCTGTCTGCAGGACAGCAGGGGATGTGGTAGTTGAGCAGATGGAGGAAAAAGTGGTCAGTAAAGCAGCAGGGTCTAGCCCCAGTTCTGGTACTGCTGCTGACTATATGTGAGAGAGGCCCCTGCCTCCCTGAGTGGTGAGACCCATCATCTGATTTCCCTACCTCACAGGGTCACTGTACAGGTGAGGGAAAGTCTGAATAGTGCAAATACTTTGAAGAACTTAAGATTCTAAGAAGGTGCTATGTAGGAAGTCAACGAAGGAAGTAGGTTCTCGGATGCTAGAGTTGTGTAGGCCTGATTTAAAATCTCAGTTCTACATCTTGCTTAGCTTTAGGACCTTTGATGTCTTAGTTTTCCATTAACGTAGCAAATACTTGGAATCAAGTCAACTTAAAAAGAGGAATGGTTTCTCTTGACTCACAATTTCAAAGGTTTTAGTCTATAGTCATGTGGCACATTGCCTGTGGTAAGTAGCACTTTGTGGTGGGACTCACAGCAGAGGCAGCTGCTTGCCTCACGGTGGCCAGGAAACAAAGGGAAAGGAGAGGCTGGGGTCTCAATATCCCCTTCTAGGTCTTGCGCCCAATGGCCTAACTTCCTCCACTAGGCCCTACCTCTTAAACGTTCTACCTCCCAACAGCACCACTGGCTGAGGACCAAGCCATGGGCCTTCGGGTGACAATCAAGATCTAATCTATAGCACTGGACATAATTTTTTGTTTTGCTTTGAGATGGAGTCTTACCAAATTGTCCAACCTGGCCTTGAACTCACAATAATCTTCCCTTAACCTCCCAGGCAGCTGGGATTACAGGCTTGTGCCACCATGTCTGGCTACTCCAAATCTGTTTCCTCATGCTAAAGTGGACCTAGATCTAATTCTCTAGTTGGATTAAAAATATTAAATATTATTCAAGTTAATCTTGATGGTTCTCAACTGGAGTGAGTCTGCCACCCTGGAAACATTTTTCAATGTTTGGAGACATTTCAAGGTCTCAAGCTGAAGGTTGATATTGACAGTGAGTAGAAAGAGAGATGCTACTAAACATCCGTAGTGCACAGGACAGTCCTCTCAGCAGATCTCATCCAAAATGTTAGTAGGGTCACTATCAAGAAATCCTAGATCAAACCCTATAAAACTGCTGCTTTTGTAAGTCAAAATGATAAAATGTTAGTGATATTATAGAATTCAACCTAACAGATGTATTAATACTTGAGAGATGTTAATTATTGAAAAATTTGGCTTTCTCCTTCCAAAAGGCTTACAAATAAGTTTTCCTAGAATTACAAGACATTTCCTCCCTCTTTCAGCTTCTCCTTTCTATTCTGAACGGCTGAAGGAGGCTCATGTCAGATTGTACCCATCCAGCCGCTGTACATCACAACATATGTTTAATAAAACTGTCACAAACAACATGCTGTGTGCTGGAGATACTCGAAGTGGAGGGAACCAAGCAAACCTGCATGATGCTTGCCAGGTAAATATGAATATTGCTCTACTCTTGAGGCCCACCCAAGGACAAAAATGCTCCTTGGGCAACAAGTTCTTAACTAAGGGGAAAAGTTATAGCCAGAATGGAGTGGTTTCATCTCTGTGAGGCCCTAGGGATTCTAGATAGGGGCCTCCAAGAATAAAGCAATTGGAGAAAAATCAAAGTTACCTAAACTTAAGAAATCGAAAACTGTAGGAAATTTCCCCATGTTTTCACAGAAAACTCCACCTGGTACAAGATTTCCTGTAAGCCAAGGCAATTAATTGACTATTGAAGTGATGGGTAAAGCAACATAAGTAAGAAATCCTTAATTTCTATGGGTGCTAGAGAACCAGAATCTATTTTGTAGAAGGGCCAGGAGGAAAGGAAATAGGATGAATTGTGAGAAAGAAGTTTTAAAAATTCATATTCAGCCCTAATATCCTAGAATACAGGCTAATTTAGGTTCTGTGTTAGAATCCTTATCAAAATATTTATATTTCATGATTAACAAGATACTGGGGCATGGGGGACAGACAAACTGTTGGTATTAAGACTAAAATATAGCCAAGGAATTGTTTTTGCTCAGACATTTCAGTTGTCTACAGTATACCAGGCTCTCCATTAGGGGATGGAAGTTAGGACCCAAAAATTCAAATGAGGTTTTTGTGTTGAAGACTTTGCAGACATTGTTCTTTTAATCATAAAAGCAGTTCCCAGGCCTGAGCATTTGGTCTCTTTCTGAATGGTTTCTTCAGAAAGCTCATATGTACCCACCTAGTCACAGTCAAAACAAGGGTGTATACAAAGTGAAACTATGATCTATCTATATGCTTAAAGTTATGCTTAAAAAAACATTATTTTGATCCAATACGACAATAATTAGTACTGAGTTTTACTAAATGCCATATTGTTCTCAGCTGCTTTTTGTGTATCCTCCCAATCAATTTCCATAACAACCTCATGAGATACACAGCATCTTCTCTATTTTATAGTTAAGAAAACTAAAGGGGCCAGCATTGTGGCTCAGTAGTAGAGTGCTTGCCTAGCATGCGTGAGGCACTGGGTTCAATCCCCAGCACCACATAAAAATAAAAACAAATAAAATAAAGGTATTGTGTCCATCTACATTAAAAAATTAAAAAGAAAAAAATAACAACAACTAAAGGACAGTTATCCTGAATCCACAAAGCTAGTAAGTGGTTGAGTTCAAACCAGGTGTTTTTGGAGGCCTGAAATGGCTAAGCAATTATCTTTGTCTGTCTGTGTCTGTATGTTTGTGTATGTGGTGTGGTGTTGGGGATAGAGGCCAGGCCTTGACAAGTGCTCCACCACTGAGCTACCATAATCCTGAGCAATTGTATCAATTCACTTTATCAGAATAGATACAACCTAATCATCTAGAGGATCAAGAAAATTGAGATAATTTGCCCTCTCTGAACTAAGTACTTTAAAGAATATATCATAATACTATAGCAATTCTAATTTTCTCCCAGAAATTGTGCCATGTTTGCAAACAACCTGTTCTGTCTTTTGCAGGGTGACTCAGGAGGCCCTTTGGTGTGTGTTAAGGACAAACGCATGACTTTGGTTGGCATCATCAGTTGGGGTCTTGGTTGTGGGAAGAAGGACGTTCCAGGTATATATACCAAGGTCACTAATTACCTAGACTGGATTCAAAAAAATATGCAACCATGACCAAGAAAACTCAGCTCCTTAAAATCAAAGGAGATCCTGACTTCTTCCTCTTCAGAAGACATACTGTCAAGTCCATGTGATTCTCTACGCCGATTTCTCCATGAGCCACCTCATGGTAGCAGGGGAGAAGAATCAGTAGGAGAGGACAAAGTGTTTTAGTCGGGTACTTTACATTTTGGACATTTTACAGGAGTTAAAGGCTGCTTTCAGAATGTATTCTGTCAGATAAGAAGACAGCTAAATAAATGCCAACCCCTCCTGGAATTCTACTGTCTAGAGCAGAAGAGATGTAGAATGAAAGTCCAGACTCCTAATCACTGGTTGTGAGAAAATCTGGAAATGAGAACACAAAGATAAAAGTATGTCTCCATAACAAACAATAACTAGATCCTGAAAGAGAAAAGTATTGCATTAGAAAAAGAATGTGTATTTATAGTCACAAGAGCCCAACAGGGCCTCCAAATAAGGGATGGGCTAGCTGGACAGGTCATTTTTCCCAAAATGATCCCTTAAATCAAGTATTCTTCTTCTGCCTTTCCACTCCACTTGGAAAATATTCCTTTTGTGTACAGTGTAAATCTTTTTTCTTTATAAACTTTTTAGTTAACTGAGAGATTATATCATTTTCATAATAGATGAGCTAGGATTTAGACTATTTATATCAATCCACTGTAATTTTCATGTTCTGTTGCCATAACCCTGTATTATATTGTCTTTAAATAATAAATTCAGATATATTTTTCACATTTTTTTCAAGAGTAGAATGGTTTTGTTACATATGCAGTATCCCACAGCTTACTCAGTTATTCATAATTCACATTTTTTAATCATTTGAAATATTTCCTTTCATTCATTCAACATAAACAGAATACCCAGTGCCCACAAATAAATATGCTAGGTGCTGTGGACAGTAAAAGGGGGAAGAAAGGACAACTTGGTATGACAGGAACAGAAGATATTTAGAAATAAGGTAGAATGGAGACGGGCCATAGAAGGGCAGAAACTTTTATTGGAATTCAGCTGCAGGAAGGATTAGGGAATCTGAAGGAAATAAAATTAGGGAGGGTTTTCTCAGATTGGGTGAGATCTGGATTGGTACACAGGTGCAGTAAAAGCAATCTTGAGATGAAAAAATTCAGTACCTGAAAATACGAAGATCTGGAGGCAAAAGAGACAGAGAAGTATAAAAAGAAATTAGTAGTTTGTCTACGGTGAACTTTATGAAGGGGACTGTAGATTGGAATTCAGATTATGGGGGCTGTGAATGCCAAACCGAGTTTAGATTTAATTCAATAAGGAGCTGTTTTGAGTATTTTGCTCAGGCAAGTGGGAGTATGTCAGGAAAATGAACTATGTGGTAATGGGAGAGTAAGAAGACAGGTAGTGAGACTCTTTTGACAGTAACTACAGTTACATAAAAAACAAATGAACTAATCATGACTTTGCTAACATAGCAACATCTCAATTGTTGGTTCAGACTAGAAGCTAGTATTTAGGTCACTTTTCCCCATCCCATTTTGCTTTTCTGCTCATCAGAATTACCTCTAGATTAGTTCACAAAGTATGTTACTTGAATACTGCTGCTTTCTGCTTCTCTTAGACTACTTTCTTATCACTCTTGAGATGAGACCCATATTCCTAGCTGCTGCCTCAGTTTTTATCATTGACACTCTAGTTTCAAGAATACATCCAATGAAGCTTACTTTTGGGCATATACTGACAGTTTCTTAAGGGAGGAGAAAGGTCTTTATCTCTTGAGGAGTTGTACAAATTACCCAGTTTGAGGTTCTTGGAAGAAAAGTAGTTTACACTCACAAAAGAAATTATCTGCAGACCAAGAATTTGATTGGTTAGATGGGGGAGGGGGGTCAGGAGGAGGGACAGAGATGGGGGTCTCCCCTGAAACGCTAATATCCCTAGGCCAGTTAAATCAATGCAAACTCTGGACACTTAGGTTGCAGATTTGGTGACTTCACACAACTTGTTTATAAGTTCTAAGATTTTAGACAGATATTCATCTGTTTGTGAACTGCAATGAGCAAGAATCCCTGGCTTCTGCATCTCTGGCTGAAACACAGCAGTTCCATCCCCTCCCCCTTGCGTGACAAGCTTTTCTTTAGAGAGTGGGGTTAATGAAATGAAATGAAGCAGTACGGCCTCCTGGGATGGAAATACAAAGTCAAAAGGCTCCAGCATTCCTCTGAGTGGAGTCTTGGAAACCGCAGACCAAATGAAGACAATTGCTTAGACGAGGCCACTGAGTTACAGGGTAGAGACCCAACCCAGCAATACAGATTCATTTGAGTTATACTAAAACATCAGAGCAACACATCATTACCCAGGATAGGTTAGGAAATTCAGGATAAAATGGCTGGATCTTGTCAGGTGAAGGAAATGGGTACAATAGGAAATTCAATATTATTTCCTCAATATCCCTGGCTGATTAATAAAACAAATAGATGCTAACAGATCCAAAGAACGAGAAAGATTCCCAAGTAATTGTAAAGTTAGTTTTAGTGGGTATAAAGACCTAGAGGAATTCAGATGGTTAAAACTATTGTCCTCCTAGAATTTCATTTGTGCATATCAAAATGTTATCATCAACTTTTGGCTCAACATTTAACTTCAAAATCCAAGCTCATTCAATCCCCAGTACTTAGGATCTTGGAGAAAGTTTGAGTTTCAAATTAAATGCCCTTTAAAAAAAAACAACTAACAATTTGTATTGATGGCACTAAGTCACCACCTACAGGCCATAGAGGAAAGTGCAAGTAGATAACAAAATTTCACATCACATCACAATGCTACCAAAACATCCTGAGGGAAGAGTTGCAGGTGTCCCTGATCCATGGGAGACACATTCTAAAATCCCCAGTGGGTGCTTGAAAGTATAGAACATTATATATCCAGTTTGCCTGTACATAAGTGCCTGTGATAAAGTTTAATTTATAAAATTAGGCACAGAGATAAACAATAACAATTATCAATGTACTATTGTATAAAAGATATGTAAATGTGTTCTCTTTCCCTTTTTTACCCTTTACTTGCAATAAATGGCTTAGTATCACCTGTTACAAGGGCTTCCTTGCTGAAGTCTCCACATAGGCTCAATGCTTTTTGGTGTAATACACAATCAGCAATTGGAACATGTTTTTTGTTCATGTCTTCTGCCCATGAATTCAATACCTCTTGCATCTTAATTAAGCACTTATAAAATGCACTGTGGCAGTAATTTTGTGTTGCTACAGCAAAATGAGTAAAAATTTATTTTACAACTTCAGATATAAATCTTAGCAACCTCAGTGTAGGATTTTTTTTCCTTTATTAAACAGAGAACTTTCACCTTTTCACTTTAGGCTTTTCTAAACCCTTAATCCAAACTCCAAGTGTTCCTACTCTTGTGCTTTGAGGCCACTAGGTAAAATAAGGGTTACTTGAACCTAACCACTGAAATACTGTGATAGTCAATCTGATAACCAAGATGGCCAGGCCACTAAGTGACTAACAGGTAGTATACACAGTGTAGGAATGCTGGACAAGAAGATGATTCATATCCACGGCAGTATGGTGCAGGACATTTCAGTACAAGATAGAGTAGAATAACAGAGGAGAGAAAAAGATTTCATCAAGCTATTCAGAATTGTGCATAATTTAAAATATATGAGCTGGTTTTTTTCTGGAATTTTCCTTAATATTTTCAGCCTGTAGTTTATCTCAGACATCTAAAACTTGGAAAAGTAAAACTGCAGATAAGGAACAGGGGGACTACTATACTAAAAAGTGGTGAAGAGAAGAAGCTGAATATTAAAAAACCCTAAACACTGTGGCTATTAAACAGGAGTTTTCAGAAGAATATCAGTATAGACAGGGAATATCAGCATCCACATTTTCCAGACTCCTAAGGTCTTAACCTTCCATAAAACCTTGACTACAATAAGGATGTCTAGTACCTTGCAGTCCTGCTCTATGCCTAAATTAATCAACTCGAGAAGCCAGTCAAAAGGGAAAAAATAGGGAAAGAGCTGGGCACAGTAGCGCACTGCCTGTAATCACAGTGGCTTAGGAGGCTGAGACTGGAGGATTGTGAGTTCAAAGGCAGTCTCAGCAATGGTAAGGCGCTAAGCAACTCAGTGAGACCTGTCTCTAATAAAATATAAAAAAAGACTAGGGATGTGGTCCAGTGGTTGAGTGCCCCTGAGTTAAATCCCCGGTACCAAAAAGAAAAAAGAAAAAGAAAGAAAGGGATAGGGAAAGCACTAGAATAAACACCAGTGGTTTCTAATGGTTTTGTCTCTTACCCTGGGGGAAAACAGTTTGATTGATAGGGACCTCAGTTGTCATAACTTAAAAGTGACATTAACACCAACATCCCCTATTTCCCAGCAGTGACCAGAGAATCAAATATGGTTTTATAACATCTGGCTAAAGAGAACAAAAATTAGCAAGATCCTCCTGAAAAGATAAATTGCTTATTGCTTCTACTGACAAATGCATGGCATAGCATTATTATTAGTCCTAGTAACAAAACACTTCAGCCACAGAGGACTGGTAAAATTCAACTTTATTAAGATTTAAACAGAGAAGCTACGTCTGCACATGTTAACCACACATAGAACTGAACAGCTCAACTAAGGCACCCTGAACTATTCATGCCACCTGACACATTGTGGGAAGCTGGCAGTGATGCTTGATTGTACTCCAGTGGTCTGCTACACCCATATGTGATGGTTATTTCACATGCTTAGGCCCACAGGTCCCATAGTCTAGACTTTAATTCTTCTTAGTTATGTCCCTTGCAATAAGATAAGCTGCCCTAGAAGACATAAAACAGCTGCAAAATCTTCAGGGACCAAGATTAGTTGATTCCTGTGACTTAGGAACCTTTCAGAGCCCTCAGAAGAGGTGATTCTGAACATTCCTGGGATTCACAGGCAGAAAAGTTTCCTCTACCATGGTGGGTGTGTACAGGCTGCAGTGTGGAGTGATGGAGTATGAAGCACATCTGGTTGTATGTAGCAGTTTATCCCAGAGAAAAACCACAAAGCAACATTACTCTGCAGC